CCCTTTCAAAGTTTTAATTTTTTTGACATATTTTTTATTTATTTTTCAAACGAAATTTTATTATTATCATTATTATATTTGACTTAATATATATATATATATATATATATATATATATATATATATATAATTTAATCACACAAAATAATGATAATAATAATAATAATCGCAAATTTGTTCGAATTAAAAAAATTTTTTTTTTCGTTTTTAAGCCACAAGTGAATTGAAAAATTGTGAGTGACGTCATTGAGTTAATAACATAATAATTTAATAACAATTTTTTTAATGATAATAAATTTCCCCCTTCTTTCTCCCCACCCCACACAAAAATTATTATTATTATTATTATTTCGTCGGTTTTTTTTTTTTTTTTATAAATAAATCGATTAGAAATAAAAATTTAATGAAAGAGAGAGAGAGAGAGAGAGAGCATGGATATAAGTTTTTGAAAAACAATGAAATGAATTCCTTTCTTTCGTTTCCTTTTCCGTATTAATAATAAAAATAAGAAGCAGAAGTAAAAAAAAAAAAAATGGCGGAAGTCGATAGGCGGATAATGGTAAGCGCAAGGAAAAGACAAAAAAAAAAAAAAGGAAGACTCCCACCCAAACAAAAGGAAAAAAAAAATGCCATATCATAAAAATCAATTTAAAGACGTTTAATAACCTTTGACCGGATTGACATCGAGGATCAGCTTTGACTCCCTCAAAGGAAATCTTTTAATGACGTCAAAACGAACGTTAAAAAAAGGAAAAATAAAAAAAAAACAAAAAAAACAAAAAACGAAAATCTTCGTAATGTCTTGACGACGTCTCCCTTAAATAAAAATTTTTTTCCACTCGACATATTATTTTTAATATTAACCTTAATAATAATAATAATGATAATAATAATAATAATATTCATATTAAAAATAAAAAACAAAATCAAAGGATTTTTAACATTTGAATTTTTCACTTTCTAATTTTTTTCAAAGTAAACTTTTAATTTCGTTTGACGTTTACAATTTAGAATGATTATCTTTTATTTTTCCGGGAGGCGGGAAAAGTGGGGGAGGAGCAAAAAGAAAAAATGTCAGGGGGGGGTGATGAAAAGAAAAGAAAAGTTAAAGTAAAAAATCGTCCACTTAAGGCCATCATTGGCGGATTCAAAGGCGGTCAAAACCGATTTTATTCATTTATTTACTCTAAATTTTTCCTTCTGCTTCTCCTTCCTTTTCCCCCTTCCCCCTCCCTCTCTTCCTCTCTCATAATATTCCTTATTTATCGAAAACCGGAAATTTTTCAAAAAAAAAAAAAAAAAAAAAATTATATGAAAAATAATAAAAATTTAATTTTCTTCAGTCCCAATTTTTTTTTTTTTATTTTTAATTTTTTAATTTCATTATTATTATTATTTTTTTTTTCCATAAAATTTATGGACTTGATAACGCGCCATAAATTTCCAGTTACGTCACATTATTAATTTAAATACGTAAAAAAAAATAATAATAATTTTTTTTTTTTGGAGTTTAATGGAGGACGAAAAATCACGTTGCGATTTTACTACTCCGACCGTCGATTACCCGAAAATCAAGTTTCCAAATATATTTCCAGTAATAATTTTTAATTCCATATAATTTATATTCTTATGTCACGTGTCGGACCTTAACATTTTCCCCTCCCCTCTCCTCTCACCTCGATTTCAATGACTTTTACTCGCGTTTTTTTACGTAATTTTATCATTATTATTATACTGATATAGAAAACTTTCGAAAAACAAAAAAAAATTATTTTTCTTAAACGTTTGCTTATACATATTTAAATAATATTAATAATAATTTCCTTTTTGTTTTCATCGCCCCGCCCCTTCTCTCTTTTCCTCCCTTCCACCATGTTTTTTCTTAGTCGTCGTCGCCGTCATCGTTGTCGTCTGCTTTTTATTATAAACTCATCATTATTCATTAATTTCTGTCACTTTCATTCCTTTTTTTCGAAATTTTGATAACAACACGTGAACGCTTTTTTGACTCTTTCAATATTTATTTTTTTCTCTTCGTCATGGTTTCTATTTTTTTTTTTTTAAATCGTTTTCATCAATTATTATTATTATTATTATTATTATTTTCGCGTTTTCAAAACCGGAAAATTTTTTCCCCCACTCAAAAAAAAAAAAACCGGTAATAATTTTTTGATAATCGAATAATTTTTTTTTTTCGTTCTTCCTCGCTCCCCCCTCCTCAAATTATTACGTAATAAAATTTTAATAATATTATTATTTTCTCATTTCCCTCCCTTCCTCCCTCCTCTCTCTCCTTTTTTTCGTTTTGACATTTTTCACTTTATTTTTCATAATAAAAAAAAAAAAAAAAAACTGACGTCTTTCCATAAAAAATTTTTTTTTATTGTTGTTGTTGTTGTTGTTCTCCGCATTTTTTCTTTTTTACCACCCCGAAATTATTTTCCATTATTATTATTATTACATCATGCATAAAACGAAGAGAACGTCAAAACGAATTATTATTATTATTATTTATTTTTTCATAACCAATTGATTTCGATTCATAATAAAATCTATTTTAAAAAAAACGCCCCGTATTAATTTTCCATCACTTAAATAAATTATTATCATCATTATCATCATCATCATCATCATCATCATCATTTTACTTGCATTATACACGTAAATGCACATTATATTTAAAAAAAAAAAATTCAATATAAATAATAATAATAATGATAACCGCAAGAGAAAACATGCAAAAAAAATTTAGTTGGGAGGAAAAAGTTTTCCAGTGTCGGATTGCACGGAGAAAAAAAATTCAATCCGTACCTGATCAACGTGTCAAGGTGAAAAAAATATTTTTTTACGAGTTTTACAAACACAATAGAAAAAAAAAATCGACAAATAGATAGACCTTGGAGTGGCGGAAATGACAAGAAATAAAAATAATAAAAAAAACTCAAATTCGATTTCGAGTCCACCCAACCTCGAAAATATAATTTGGAAAATAATAAAAAAAAAAAAAAAAAAAAAATTTCATTTCGAAATCATTAAATTATTATCCCCTCATTATTATTATTATTATCATTTATTTATTTATTTACTTGCTCGATATTGTTTTTAAAAAAATTTTTTTTTTAAAAACCGACTCTCGCGTTTGCATCCGATCAAAATTCTCCATCATCTACAACATCCCCAACATCTCCATCATCATCATCATTATTATTTCTACAAGTAGAATATATTACGAGTTAAGAATTACGCGCGTTTTTCGATTCGCGAAACCGGAGAAACAAAAAAAAAAAATCATTTAAATGTTTTGACATTTAATTTCGAAAAATAATTTTTAAATTGCCTCGAACTTTTCGTTTAAAAAATTATTATTATTATTATTACGATTGTTGTTGTTGTTGTTGTTGTAATACTCTCGGTAACCAAATGTCAATTTAAATTTTTTTCTTTTAAATTAAAAAACAAGAGAGTGAGAGAGAGGGGAGAGAGAGAGAGAGAAAGAGAGAGAAATTACAAAACGTGGCTTTTAAACCATCGAATTATATTATGATGTGTACATAATATACGCTCTAAAGTAAAAAGGTTTTAAATTGAATAATCCGATATAACTCGATTATACGGTTCGACTCTCGCACGCGTACACGCACGCACGTACACACGCAAGAAAGTGTTTGTGTAAATCGAATATAAAACGAGAATCGTAATAATAATAATAATAAATGATAATAAAATGACAACAAATGAATTTCATACTAAACACTGAAATTAAATCAAAATCTTTTACTCTTTCTCTCTCTTTCTCTTCTCTCTCTTTTCCCCTTTTTCCTCCCCCATCTCCGTCTTCCATACCTTTTCCCATTGCAAAAAAAAAAGTAAACGCACGCACGCACGTACGCACTTTTTAACCGTACGTATATTAAACCGCAAAAACGTTGTCGATGAAATATATATATATATATATATATATATATATATATATATATATATATATATATATATAATAATCGAAACGTTTAAAATGAATCCCGATACAAACAAACAAAGAAACAAACAAAGGAAAATATATATGAAAAAGGAATTGCGTACTGGAGGAAAAAGGGAGAGAGAGAGAGAGAGGGGAAGGGGGGAAGAAAAAGGAAAATTTATTATTACTATTAAAAAAAAGATTCATTTAAACATTACGTATATCTCTTTTCAACGAAAAAAAATAAAACCTAATTACGATTTTTTCTTTAAAAAAAAAAAAAAAAAAAAAAAAAAAAACGTACCAATTATAATTTAAATAAATAAATAATAAACGTGGCAGTAGAAAAAGTAAATCTCGTACCTATTCGAAAACGGAAACTTTTATCATAAATCACGAGGGAGAGGGGGGCGGAAAATTTTTTTTTTTTAAATAAAATAAAAGTCGTCGTGACGTTTTTTTTTTTTTTTTTTTTAAAAAATTTTCAATTAAATTTTAACTAATATTTATTATCATTATTATTATCATCATCATCATCATTAATATTTATAAGAATAAATAATCGTTTAAATATAATTATATTATTATTATTATTATTATTATTATTATTAATTAGATCAAAAAAAAAAAAAAGTTTCGTCGTGCGTGGTCGGTTGGTCAGTCGGTCGGCCGTTCGTTTTCCAGCGGGTATTAATATTAACTTTTAAAATATGAGTATAAAAAGGGTTTGTTTGTTTGTTTGTTTGTTTGTTTGTCTTTTCCAAAAAGGAAAAAGGAAAAAAGGAAAAGATCGTTCTCTATTAGGAATAACCATGCTCTATAATTTTGTGAAACTGCTACCATTCCTTTCGTTTAACTCACATTACACATTTCCGGTTGGAAGTTAAATTTATCTTTCTGACAATTTTTTTTTCCTTTTTTCCTTTTCTTTTTTTTTCCCTTTTATATAATGACAACAAACGGCTTTTGGACCCCTGGAGAAAATGCCTGGAGAATGATGTCGGTAAAAAGGGTTGAGAACGAAAAATTTACCAAGAGTTTTCTATACTGCTACCACGACTACTACCATACTAACCCCTTGAGGTTTCTTTCTCTTTTGCAGCTGCCTCAACAAATACTCTGATATATTTATTACTCTCACTCTCTCTCCCTCTCCTTTAGGAAAAAGGCAAAGAAAAAAAAGCAGAAAAAAAAGACAAAAAAAAAAAAAGAAAAAAAAAACTTTTCAGTGGAAGGGAATTATTTTTTTAATTCTTTCGAATCTAAAAAGAAAAAAAAGGGGGGGAGCGGGAAGTGGGGGGCAACGTAAGAAAAATCATTCGTAAATTCCGGTAAAAAAAAAAAAAGTCGATGCGAAGCTAATAAATTCTCGTAAGAAAAAAAAAAAAAAGTAAAACAAATAAAAGCAAAAAGATTGTAGACGTGTAAGTAAAGTCGACGATATATATATAGCAACAGCAGCAGCAACAGCAGCGGCGGCGACGGCAGCAGCGGCAAAGACAGCAAATAGTAGCAATAGCAAAAAAAAAACTCAATTTTACCAAAAAAAAAAAAAAAAAAGTATCAACTAATTAATTATTTATTTCTACGGGGGGAGAAAAGAGCAAAAGCAAAAATCGAATCGAATCGAACGAGTCGTTACGATTATAATAATAATAATAATAATAATAATAATAATAATAATAATAATAATAATAACAATAGCACCGGAAGAAAAAATAAATTAAAATAAAATAAAAATGTTCACGTACCTTTATGCTGTCGTAACAAGCCATAACTTTTCCATTTTGAACCTCCAGGTTCGCGGGCGGATGAGCAAATTTGCACTCCGTATCCGATCTTGTGCATTTGTTCCTTTGGAACTCTCTGCATACTTCCAATTGCAACCATCTAGGGTCTTTTCCATTAATAAGATTGTTCATATTGACCATCGCCATGGCTGGCTCTTCAATGGGAGGAGGTAGGGGAGGAGGCGTGGCTCCCACAGGAAATAATATAACCGGGGTTTGTGAGACGGCGCTCACTTCGGCACTCACTACGTTGGCCGTCGTTGCTGACTAGTTAATGTTCTTTGACAGACGAAAAAAATTCCTTTTTTTTTTCCCCTCTCTCTCTCTCTCCCCTTTTTGGACTTATTTATCGTCGGTAAAGGGGGGCCGAATGGGGAGGAAACGCGATAAATACTAATAACAAAACAACGAAATCAATTCGTAACAAAAAAAAAAAATTTATATGTATATACTATAATGTAATTGCATGTATGTACGTATTAGTTCGTTCGTTTTGTTTCGTTTGTTTGTTTGGTTGTTTGTTTCCGTACGTTTTACGACAATTAAATAAGGGTTAAAGTTTTTCTCGTATATAAACTGTGCATATGTATATATAAAAAAAATAAATAAAATAAAATAAATTCGATTCGCGTATAAAAAAAAAACAAAAAAAAATAAAATTCGATCGATAACAATAACGATAATAATAATAATAATAAAATCAAATTATTATTATAAATTTGAACGAAAGGTTGAATTTCTTTCTTTGAATTGTTTTGTAAATTTTTAAAATTGTCTCCGGGAAATTTTCGTTGTCATTAATTTTCTTACTGTCGACGACATATACATATAAATAAAAATTCGATTGTTTTTCCTTTTTTTTTTTTTGCTTTCGGATAAAATCACAATTTAAAATCGATAATAATGATAATAATAAGTTTTCCTTTTTCTTCTTCTTCTTCTTATCACCGCGATAAAGTTCACTTTTTTTTTTTTTTACTTTATTATAACTCAGAGTTTTTTTTTTTCATTAGCAAAACTATATATAGAAAATTCGAATTGGAAAAAAAAAAAATTATTATTATTATTATTATTATTACTACTACTACTCTTACCACTTTTTACCACACGTATGATTTTACATATTTATACGTTTAATAAAAAAAAAAAAAATGAAGCAAAAAACGGCAAGGAAAGGAAAAAAAAACCTACACGAAGGAAAATTACCATTAAAAAAAAAAAAAAGAAAGAAAAACAAGAAGTAAATAATAATAATTACTAAAGTAGAAATAAAACGACAGTAATAATAATAATAATAGATAGATAGATAATACGGATTCGATACGGAAGAAAACAAAAGCCAATTTATAAAAATAATAGTAATAATAATAATAATAAAAGGTTTTTTTTTTTTTTTAAGGGGAGCAATAGGAAGCGGAAAGCAGTGCCGTGTTTTTAAGCGTTTTCTTTTTTTTTTTTTTTGTAAATGTATAGCACTAAGCACACCTCTGGTCCACGCAGAGAAGTAGCGAAGCTAGCGCATTGTTGGCTGGTCGTCGTAAGCAAGCTGCTGCTGCTGATCCAATGTTGCCGTTGCGTGTATTTTTTCTGTAAGAAAAGAACTTTCCATCACTAATCAATCCAACAAAATACGAAGAACAAATTAACATTAGTAATGAGGAAAAACAAAACAAACAAACAAACAAACAAACAACAAAATACTTATAGACGCGTTGGGGGTGTAAATTGTAAATGTTATTTTAACCGGAGACAATTAACAAACGACAACTTGGTTGTTTGTTGTTATTTTTGTTACACTGATTTCGACTTCTAATTTAAATAGCAATTGTAGAAAGAAAAAAAAAACTCTCGCCGAGTGAGTACGTGGATTAACATTAATAATAATGATAAGCGTGTTATTATATAACAACAAACACAAACAAAACAAACAAAAAAAAAAAAGATTTAAAGAGGAGAAGAAGAAGAAGGAAACGAATCGAGAGTAGTCGATTGAATTTTCATTCCATTAAAAATTCAACCGTCTGGAATATATAAAATTTTTTTAAAAAGTTAATAAATAAATATTTTTCCGACAGCAACAACAACAACAACAACAACAAACACAACAACAATACATAAGGCAACGAATGATAAACTAATTCTGTAGGCAGGGGGGAGTTGGAAAGGGAAAATCTCTCTCTCGTTCGAAAGGAAAAAAAAAAAAAAATGTATACGACGACCTAAAGAGGATTTAATTTTTCACTTTCGTTTGTCGTGTTTGTCGGTGTTTGTTGCGTTTGTTTTATTCCCTTTACTCGGCAAATTTTAATAAATGAAACGAAACATTTACAAAAAAATTAAAACTTTTAAGAAAACAAAAAAAAACAAAAAAAAATTCTTATCGTTCTTTTCCATTCGTTAGACGGTATCGTCGGTTTAGTTTTAACCTGTCTATCTACTACATAACCTTTTTCTCCAGTCGTTCCTTTTTTAATAATAATAATAATAATAATAATAATAATAATAATAATATTAATAATAATATTAATAATAATGATAATGATAATAATATTACCGCGTTTTTTTTTTTTTTAATTTAAATCAATTACTACGAAACGTGTTCTTTCTTCCACCCATTCGTTTGTTTTTTTTTTTTTTTTTACAAAAAAAAATTTATTAAAATGCATATTATTATTATTATTATTATTATTATTAAGGCAAAATTTAAAGTACGTCATTATTAAAAAACTTTGCAGAAATTTTTCTTTCCTTTTTCATTTTCTCAGAGAGAAAGAGGGGGAGAGAGAGAGGGAAAATCTTAAAAAAAATTCTAATAAAAACAAAGTATTTCAAGCCAAAATTTGAGTTTTTCTTTTCTTTTTCTTTTTTTTTTTTTTTGGCAACTTTAAACACAATTTTTTCTTTCTTTCTTTCTTTCTTCTTTTTTTTCACCATCACCACCCCTCCCCCTCCCCTATCCTCCTCTCTCTCTCTCTCTTTACCTACTACCACCAAACATCTCCAAACGATTTTTTTTTTTTAATAATATAATAAAATAATATTTAAAAACAAAAAAAAAGTCAATTTTAAACTCTCTCCCTTTCTCCCCCTCTCTCTTACTCTCTCTTTCTTCCTCTCTCTCTCTCATTGTATTTTTATCAAAAGCCATGTCATTTATTTATTTATTTTTTTTTTTAGTAACAAATAATAAAAATAAAAAATAATAAAAAATATTTGGAACGCATCGAATTTTTTTTTTTCTTCCCCCTTTTTTTTTTTATTTGTAAAATCAATTTACCTGGAATAAAATGGGGGCAGCGGGGGGACGGGGGACTGGGAAAAACAAATTTTTTTATTTTTTATTTCTCATTCCGGCATATATCGAGTCGATAAATTTTGAAACCACGAATTCAAAAAAATTAACGGTAAGTTTTTCTTATTTTTATTTTTTTTATTTTTCATTTTCTAACGTATATATCATCATCATCATCTTTATTATTATTATTACGAGTCAAAATAATGATAATAATAATAATAATATTTTATTTCAAATTATTTCGAAAGGATTTTTATTTTTATTTTTTCTCCTTAAATGAAAAATATTTAAAATGAACGAGAAACGATGAAAATAAAAAAAAATGGGAAATGAGGATAAAATATGTGAAGCAATATTATTAATAATAATAATAATAATAATAATAATAATAATAATATTATTAATAATGATGATGATGATGATGATAAAACAAAATGTTCGAAAATTTCTTTTTTTGCGGAGGAAGTAAAAAAAAATTTTATTTTATTTTAAAAATAAATAATTTTTCCGTTGAACCACAAAAATTTAATAATTTCACATCGTAACGTGAGAGAGAGAGAGAAAGAGAGAGAGAGTGAGAGAGAAAAAAGTATTTTCGGAAACGTTTAAAAAATTTTAACTTTTTTTTTCCAGTAAAACTGGAGCGTTATTAAAAAAAAAAAAAAGCAGAATTCGCCCCGAATCGTTTCAAATTTTATTCAAAACGCATTAAATACATTTATTATCATTTATTTTTGTCTTCTGCTGTCGTTATCAATAAAAACCTCCTTTTTCTTATTATTTTTTTTTAAAATTTAAATTTAATAAATTTTTTATTTATTTATTTTTTTTTTAACTCTATTTTTTTTTCAATTTTTTTTTATTTTTTTCTTCTTAAACATTTGCCAATAAAATAAAATAAAAAAAAAAATTATTGTTATTATTATTATTATTATTATTATTATTATTATTATGGATACTAATGTCATTATTATTATCATCATCATCATTATCATCGTCGTCGTTATTTTATTATTTAAGCACCTACGACGAAATAAAATTCTTGTACGTGTCTTCGCAAAAAAAAAATGAAAAATTTTTTCTTTTTTTTCTCCTTTGTTACCTTGCCAAAATTTTTTTTTTTTTTTTAAATAAAATTACAACTAATAAATAATAAAATAGTAGAAAGAGAGAGAGAGAGAGAGAGAGAAAAAAAAAATTAGCAGAGAACAACCGAGCAATTTTTTTTTACAACAAAACAACAACAACGACAAACGAAACAACATTTTTCCATAAGTAATTTTTTTTTTTTTTTTTTGTAAATCGATCGATTTTAAAAATCAATGATGCGGAAAAAAAAGAAAAACTAGTAATCGTCGTAGAAAGAGAGAGAGAGAGATAGAAAATAAATCACGACGACAACCGGTTATTCTTCGGTTTTAAACAAACAAAAACAAATTTGTTTTTTTTTTTTTTTTCATTAAAACGATACAACCGGTCAAAATATATGTTTATATAAGTAAAAACAAACGAATAATAATAATAATATTAAAAGTCTCTCTCTTTCTCTCTATCCTTTTATCTCTCCCACACTATCTCTCTATCTCTCTTTCTCGCAAACTACAAACACGTAAAGTCGTTGACACGTTTTTAATTAAAACAAAAAAAAAAAAAAATTTATATAAATAAAACCGTAAATAAATCCTTGATTGAGATTTGTCGTGTGTGCGCGTGTGTGTGTGCGGGGGCAGAAGCATCGAATTTATTAATAAATTATGTTAATTATACTCTGATTTAAAAACCCCCCGCTCCCCCTCCCCCTCCCCGACCCCCCGCCCGACGGAGACTTATTAAATAAATAAAAGAAATTTTTTAATTGATATATTTAAAAAAAAAAAATTAATTAATTTTCCTCCCTTCCTTCCCGCGCCGCCGCCACATTTACGCAGTCATTATTATTATTATTATTTATTTTGCGTACGATATCGGATATTAATAGTTAATAAATACATAATATTTTATTTATTTTTTTTGGTGTTTAATTAAAACTTTTACGTACATATATTTATATGCAATTGATGAATTTTGATACGAGTGAGTGAGTGAATGAATGAATGAATAAAAAATGCCGGCGGTGGCTGTGGTGATGGGTAATCGCAAGAGAAAACGTTTAATTCGAAAGATTTATTATATT